GCTTGGTTTTCATTCAACCATGATAATTTCTACCAACCCTTCAGTAAGTTAAACAGATTTCACAGCCATGATTTTCTTCCAGTGGCAGTGTTTCACAAGTCACCTCGTGGTGTACAAAATGGAAAATCTAACGAAAGCAGAAACCCAGCATCACCGAAAAAGCTCACATCCATCAAATGCAGTCTGATATTACTGTCCATAAGCTGTTAGTCTTCTGCATGAAAATAGTAGGACTGCAAAACAAAGGAAAGCACACAACAGTGGATCTCCTTACCGATCTGCACCTCACTCGGGAGATAATGGGATAGTGTTTTGATATTATATAGGCCTATTTTCGCCTTTGTAACACAAGAATAGACTTACTAGTTATTAAATACTACATATAAGAATGCTCCCCAATGAGAAAATAAAGATCTAGAATAGATAAACATCAATAGATGGTTAAACAGTATTCGACCACACCCTACCTCTCGGGAGAACCCACAGCAACAAACCTGCAAAACGCAATTCACAAAATCATTATTTCAGTAATTAGAAATGAGATAGTAATTACCATGAAGAGAGATTGTTTAGACATATCTCACCGTGAATACTGATACCCAAGTAGTGGAATTCGGAAATCGGGTCTTTTACAAAACTTGGTGTAAGCTCTAAACCGAAGTAGATGCCACACATTATATATATCATTCCCTTTGCCATGACCAATTCTAATGGATAAAACTCGTATATATACAAAATTCATATAGTTTTTCGATGATTTTAGCGATATTTCCAAGATCGATTAAATTAATTTCTCTAAAATTATTTCTTGCAAGTTCTTTGACTATTTACAGCGAGCTGTTATCTGTGAAACTTTTATTTGGTTATCATAAAAAAGCATAATTAAAAGGATAATTTTGACTGGTAAATTATATATATATATATATATATATATATATATATATATATAAATATATATAATATATATATATATATAATGTATGTGTGTGTGTGTGTGTGTGTGTGTGTGTGTGTGTGTGTGTGTGTGTGTGTGTGTGTGTACATATATATATATATATATATATATATATATATATATATAATATATATATATATATATATATATATACATATGCATATATATATAATATATATAATATATAATATTATATAATATATAATATATATATATGTGTGGTGTGTGTGTGTGTGTGTGTTGTGTGTGTGTGTGTGTGTATGTATGTGTGTGTGAGCGTGTGTGTGTGTGTGTGTGTGTGGTGTGTGTGTGGTGTGTGTGTGTGTGTGTGTGTGTGTGTGTGTGTTGTGTGTGTGTGTGTGTGTGTTTGTGTGTGTGCGTGTTTATGTGTGTGCGGTGTACACACATACATACATATGGTAGAAAAAAACACAATTGCACAAACTAGATTTAATGAGGAAAGTGAGACAACAGTTTCGGAATCGTCTCGATTCCATCTTCAGGTCGTAAGACGGACTTTGGACGGTTCCGAAACTGTTGTCTCAGTTTCTTAAATAAATCTAGTTTGTGCATTGTGGGGTTTTCTACTATAAGTATCAACACGGTAGAGTGTTTTTTCCATTCAACATACATAGACACACCCACATCTATCTATCTATGTATCTATGTATCTACATGTACACACACACACACACACACACACTCACACATATATGTGTGCGTGCGTCTGTATACCATCGCAAATACTGGAAGAGAGATGAAGGACAGAAAGAATGAGAGTGAGGGAGATAGATGAAAAAAAGAGAGAGAGAGAGAGGAGAGAGAGAGAAAGAGAAAGAGAGAGAGAAGAGAGAGAGAGAGAGAGAGAGAAGAGAGAGAGAAGAGAGAGAGAGAGAAGAGAGAGAGAGAGAGGAGAGAAATGATACCAAGGGAGAGCGAATGAGAAATTCAGAAACAATTCTTAATGATTTAATGAATAAATAGACCCACTATCGTAACCGAACAAAAAGACGCATAAATTAAATGTCTTGTCAATTTAATGTGCAACTGGAAATTTATTTTATTATCGTTCTTTTTTGTTATTCTTATTTATCATTTCTATCGATAGCAGTGTTGGTATCATCATTATCATTTAACTGTTATTATCTTCATCATTATCATTTTTATCATCATTATAATCAATATTGTTATTACCACTATTGTTATTCTTAGCATAACAATCGTTATAACTACCATTATCATCGTTATAATTATTGTTGCTATTACCATTATCATTATCTTGTATTTTTTCATCATTAAAATTATCATTATCTTTGTATTTTTTTCATCATTATCATTATCATTATCATTGTATTTTTTTCATCATTATCATTATCATCATTATTATTGTTACTTTATTGATGATTATTATATTATTATCATTATCATCATTATCATTCATTATTATTATTATTATATTATTATTATTATTATTATTATTATTATTATTATTATTATTATTATTATCATTATCATTATAAACATTATCATCACCATCATTATTGTTATTTTCATCTCTAGTATTCTTATTACCATTCTTGTGATTACTATTATTATAATTTTTACTATTATTATCATGATTATCATTTATTTTGTGATGATTTGATTGCTATTATATTTGATCTTCACTATTGTCTTTATTATCATTATTATTATCGTCCTCATCATATCCCCAATATCAAGATATTCATCATCAGCGATATCATCACCTTCAATATTATCATCATCGTCTCATCATCATCATTACCATCCCCACTATCCCCATCATCATTAATTAAAATCATAATCCCCATCCCCATCATCATTACCATCACCATCCCCATCTTCATCATCAATATTACCATCATCATCATCACCATCATTACCATCATCATTATCATCACCCTCTATTCCATCATTATCATCATTATCCATCATTATCATCCTCATTATCATTATTACCATCATCACATCATTATTATTCATCATCATATCATCATCATTACCATCATTATCATCATCATCATTATTACCATCATCATCACCATCCTCATCATCACATCCTCATTTCCTCATCCGTCCATTATAAACAACCTTTACTGAAGTGAACAAAAAACTTCACTTTTTTCCCGTTTTTACTTTACACATTTCAGCTGAAATCGCCCACTTTTGATATCATGTCTAAATAATGCAATTTTTATACCCCATTCGACTGCAGATTCCGATAGAGTCATACTCATTCCCTAAGAGTTTAATATGTTTTATGAAGAGTGATCTAAAAGGGGTAATGATAATCTAAATTGCATTATCAGTAATAGTAATGATAATAATGATTGTAATAATGATAATCATGATTATCATCATTATCATTATCATGATTATTATCATAATTTTTATCATTATGATTATTGCTATTATCATCACCATTATTATTATTACTATCATTATTATCATTACTATTATTGATAATGTAATTTAGATTATTATTGTTGTTATGATTTCATCGTCATTATCATCATCATTACTGCTATCAAATATTATCCTTAATGCTGTACTTCTTATCATTATCATCATTGTCCATATTATCAATATCACCATCAATAGCATCAGAATTATCACTATCCTCATTATTATATAATGTAATCGATATAACTGTAATGGTGACGATGCTAATATTATAAGAACATTAAATTTCCTGAATATCTATAGTATATATTTCTTCGCATCTTTTTTTTTCTTTCTTCTTTCTTTCTTTCTTTTTTTGCAATTTTGATTTTAATGAACGTAAGGATCCAGAAAATATAATGATTATAAACAATATCATAAACCAGGAAGCAGATTCTCGTCAAATGATACGTCATAAATATAGTAAAAATCATGACTACTTTTTTACGGTTTCTAGTGATAACGATAACAGGAATCAGACACGGCAACAAACTCTTCCTTTCATCCATCAACTTTCACTAGATCATCCTTACGTCATCTTTTCCTCTAATTACCATAATTTCAAAGCCACGCCCCCCCCTAAAAAAAAAAAAAAAAAAAAAAAAAAACGAGAAAAAACATCACAAAATATAACACAGCGGTGGATGTGGCACAGCTGGTAAGCATCAGATTCACTTACTTGGCTTTGACCTTCGTACCATGTATATAAAGGCAGCAGTATTCTAGACTTGCTGCAGTTGGGGTCTTTGATCAGGATAATAAACATGAGAGCTCTGGTAAACCATTCAATTAAACGTTTAGATGCACGATACTTTCCTTTTGAAATGATTACGTGGTGTTGACCAGGAAATTTCGTAAATTGTGATTCATTACCGTGATCTCATATCGTGTGTGATATAGTTTTATGATATCTATAGACATATGAATATATATATGAATATGTATATATGTATAACGCATACCTGTATATACATACAGACATATATACACACACGTATGTTTATGATATATATGTATATACATACATACATACATACATGTATATATATATATATATATATATATATATATATATATATATATATATATATATATATATATATATAATATGATATATATATATATATATATATATATATATATATATATATATATATATACATATGTATCTAAAATGTATTTATTTCTCTATCTATATATATGAATGTCTATATATTTATGAATATATATATTTGTATATCTATACCTATATGTATATATCTATGTATCTACTTTTCTGCCTATGTATATACGTAGATATGTATATATATATGTATATATAAATAAGGGAATAAAAAATGTACGCGCACACACACAGGCATATACATATATATGTAATACACACACATACACCCTCACACACACTTATATATCTATCTATCTATCTATCTTATATATATATATATATATATATATATATATATATATATATATATATATATTATATATATTATATATATATATGTGTGTGTGTGTGTGTGTGTGTGTGTGTGTGTGTGTGTGTGGTGTGTGTGTGTTGTGTGTGTTCTGAGTAATTGGACTG